TATATTTTTGTTTAATCATGCTTTAGTATGTTCAGAAATGCATCTATTTATGCATTCCAGAGTTTAAGAGCTGGTGTGATGATATAAACCCTTAAATATTTTTTTCAGTATATTTTAAAACACAGGTCTGTTCTCACCTTTGCAATGTTTTGTAAATGAAAGAGCAAGACTGAGCAAATTTCTTGGTATGCAATGCAAGTTTCAGACTGGTGTCAAAAAACAATGCCTGGATTTCTAGAATACTGTTTAATATTTGTCCATAGAGGACCAAGAGAGCGCTGCAAATTTCTTGAAACATCATCAAGGCCAATGATTTCTATATTTTAAAGCAGCCTGAGGAAGCACATACAGGGAAAATAATATTGGCCCCAGGATAGACCCCTGAAGCACCCCACAGTTAAGACCAGCAGTAGATGACCTAATGTCACCAACAGATACAGCAAATCTCGTATTGGTTAAATAGAACATAAATCAGTCAAGAGCAGCTCTCAATATACCATCCCACCATCTGGGCCTTTACAGTATCATGGTTGATGGTGTCAAAGGCAACACTGAGATCAGATAAAATCAGTCAGACTGAATTACAATATCTTTTAAGAGTTTAAGGACGCTTCCTTTAAACGGTTTGCAATGAAAGGTAGTTTAGAAATGAGTCTGAAAGAGATACAAATTGAAGATGCACCCTATCACTGGCCACTCATGTATCAGTATTACCCACCACCAAAATACAGCCTAAGGTACCTGCTGATTTCTCAATTATGTTACATGATACTTAGTGATCAGTGGCCTTTCTGATGCTGGTTGTAGTATGTTATTAGAAGGTAACAGTACAACTTAAATCTCTCATCTAATTGCTAATATAGCCTACTACAGAGCTTGAAGCCTAAACTGAGCAGCTACTAGAATTAGACTAAAGCATACTGATTAGCTAACAATGCTACTAAAAAAAGTGCTTTACATTTTAACAGCATAATTTCACTCAAGAGCTCTAACATTTTATCGAAGCTATGTTATATGTTAGCCTATAGTATGTGTCCTTCATACCTCAACATCTCAACAAGTCAAAGACCCCGTTTACACCTGGTGACTAGTATCTGGATTGTATCCTGATAAGATTAGATTTAGCCACATACATTTACATTAGGTAGTCAGATGTTTGTCTGGTTAGTTGGACTGAAACCCGATTACTGTGTGGGACAGAATATGCAAATGTGCTCATTGCACGGCAACCAATTACCAATTGTTTATCCATTCGACGTCTTCATCTGCAGTTTGTTTTGCACAGTAGTGTCTGTCCATAGTGCTGTTAGGCATTTTGTTTCGTCCAGTCCCCAACCATATGCGTCCTCCATCATTATCTTACTTATATATATATGGATCACATGGCCAGAGGAGTTTTGATTGTGCCTGGGGGCAGCTGGGTTGTACTGGGGTGGTTCGGTAGTACTGTGAACAGTTTTGGTTGTACTTAACGGTGGTGGTGGTGGTGGTGGTGGTGGGGGGGTGGTTGTTTAATGTGCCTTGGAGGGACAGATTTGTTTATATTGCTATAACGTGGCTCAGATGCATCTCAGACCACTTCCTGAAGTGGCCTGAGTGATTGGATTTGTATCTGTTTCAAATGCTTGCATTGGTTTGGCCTCATCCAGATATAATCCTGATACTCAGGATGCATAAACTGACCTGGCGTAACTGGGGTCAAAGTCACTGTAGGTAGCGTAGCATCTCGTACAGATATAAACATAGCAGATGGCCAAACCACAGCTGTTCTAAGGTCAGCTGAGATTGAGTCACTGTTGATTGTCTTGATGCTGTTTCGACCCAGAACCTCATAAAACCCTTTAGAAACTATAAAAGACTTTGGTGTCCTCATGCAAGTTATTAATGTGATGGTCACCGATAACAAACTGAAAGCTTGAGGTAATGATGTATAGCAGCGATTGCTGAGCGGTGATTGCTGGGATGAGTAATAAGGCAGAGCTTGCTGGAGTGTGTAATCATTTTTATTGGCCATATTACAAGGACATCGCTCACAGAAAACAATCTTTAATAGGGATTGTTTCAGTTGGAGAAGAGGGTAGAATAACGCAAAAACTATTTGTCTACTTCAGTATACTGCAATGGGAGGATCACGCTGCAACAATCATACTTCCTTACAAGGTCTCTCTCCCATTCTTTCCTTCTCTGGCTTTGTCTGCCAGAACAATTCTTTTGATTTCTCGAGGGATCCAACTGTATCTGATTTTTGAATGCAACGGAATAGTTTACATGCCATGCTAACGTGGTGTGGAGGAAGTGAAGCAGTGGTCAAGGTAAAAACTACCACTATGAAACCATTCAAAAGGAAGAATTCGCTTTCTCAAGGAATGTTATTGAACAGAATATTCCACCTTTCAAGTCCTTATCTGTATGATATTTTAGGATTTTGGAAAAAAAATTCTAAGAAGCCGGAAACCAACCTTTATTTATTTAATTTCTAGTCAAGTTATTAATTTTTCAGGAGGTATTTCTGGAAAGATTAGATAATCCAGTTTCTGAGACTGAAATTTGGAGGTGTGGGAAATAGTTTTCCAATAAGTTGAACTCAACAAATAAATAAATAAAAATCAAAACTGCAGAAGAAATACTATTTCCCCCCCCTTAAAATCCAAGGCTTATTACACACTAAGTGTTTATTATTTAGTAACTACAGGGACTTCAATGCAAACTGGCTGAACTATTCTAAGGTTATAGCAGTGTGTAATAAAACCTTGGGCATGCCGGTGCGCTCTGGCCATTTAAGTGGTTAAATTGTTCTCTGTAGAGATGTGTTAACCTTTTTTACTTGAACAAAACATGTAATTTGACCAGGAGTGTTCAAACGTTTGCATACAACTGTAGCCAGGAGGACATATGATAATAGCTATTAATCTTGACGAACAGTGAAATAATTAAATCTGACAATTAAAGTGGTAACAGATCATTGACATTATGCTCTGATCACACCAACAAGGCCAAGAACTATTCTTTCTAAACCCTTGAATGTGCTACGCTCTTGATAATAAAGGTTCCTAAGCAGTTTTTGGTTTGGACACATAGTCCTTTAGTTGGTATAAAATATTTAAAATTTAAAATTGCATGTTTTAATGGTTATTTAAAGAATTGGCCATTGAAGGTATTTCAGGGAACCAAATTGGTTCTTCTATGGCATTGCTGCAGCATGGAGTGTTGGGAAGCTGCTGCATGGAGATCTCCATGACAAAGTGTGCTACTGATGTACAGATGAATGTGTCCAGCTGTCTGGGGCTGATGGTGATCATCCATCAGTCACTGCCTGGGAGATCTGACAGTAATGAATAATAATGGAGATGCCTCAGGCTTAGAGCATCTTTGCAACACTGTGCAGAATCACAACCTGTCACAATCCCACATATTCAAATGTTCAAACCCTGTCAGAATCTCAATTCCACACATTCATACAACAAAAAGACACACGACTCATGGAAATGACCCAAAGGTGTAGGAGTGATTTGGAATGATGCTGGGGTGTCTTACTTAAACAGTAAAAATAATCAGTCTGAAACCTATGCTGCTCTTTAATCACAGCACCAATTTAATAAGTGTTTTTGTTAAATAGTAAGTTAGACTACAGCTTGCACACATTTGCCATTCGTACATACGACGTTTGCAGTGCAAAGTGCTGAAGCCTTATACCTGCTTATTACAAACATCCTTTTTTCAAAAGCACTTTTAATTATTGCCAGAATTTCATAATATTAACTAATAATTTAGTGTAGAATAACAATGTATTCATCATTCTGTTGTGATATCAACTTATTTTAAATACATATTGTGTAATAACGCAGCAAATTTGTGTGAGGTTGACAATGAGCTGCAGCACACAGCATCAAAACCTTAAAAGTTTTATGCTGGATTTTTTAACTCCTTAAAATCCTAGGCAAATTACATACTGGGTTACTATTGAGTAACAACAGGGACTCCAATGCAAACTGGTTGAGCCATTCTTAGGTTATAGAAGTGTGTAATAAAACTTTGAGCCTGGCCTTTCAAGGTGGTAAATTATTTTTTAAATGCAAAAAGGGTTGACAACAAATGTTTTGGTCGGTATTGCCAGATATGTGTTTTTGGTGTTTATGAGAATAAACATATAGCAATACATAACAATGTGTATTTGCATTTAAAATCTATATTTTAGATATTCTGTGCACAAAAAGTGCAAGACATGGTAGACAAAGATTTAAAGCCCTGGCTTTAAATGGTGAAAATTAGATCTAATTTAAAAAAAAATCATTACAGTTACATCACAGTTATTCCTCTAGATCCTCTAGATTAGTGACTATTATTTATCATATTTTGCATATTTTAGCTATTAACTCATCTGTGATATGCAACTTTGGACTAGTAAAACTTTATAAGAACGACAGTTAAGACGTCTAATAGCTGTTACTTCATAATCGTCTAATCGTGAACTAATGAAGTATTGGGAGATATTCATCAGTGATTCCGCTGTAGGATACATATATACCTTTGCTTGATTGCGGTTTAGAAATGACTTATAACTGTTTGTAATGATCATTTATGTTTTCAAAAAACATTTACAGGTCTGGTAAAATTAAGAGACGGTTTCTTTCTAATGTTAATTTACAGTAAATTTCAAGCTACTGAGTTGCGTCACTTGCATTATTATTACACTGCTTAGGAAATGATGACAATAGTAGATTATTCACTCACATTACTCAACATGTTTGGGGGAAAACACTAACTGCCAATTCTGTTACAATAGACACGTTATCTAACATGGGGTAGAAGGTGGACCATCCGGGCCACTCAGAGAGAGATAGAGGACAATTATGCTCCCGTGGCATCACCGGGGACCAAACATTTCAGCTATTTTTTTGTTGTTGTTTGACCATTCATCATGAAATGTTCACACAATGTGAAGGGAAAAAACTTTAGTGTTTTTACAAGAATGATGCTATGTAAGCTGGCATGTATGTTACCGTATAAGGTCGAGCAGGGCGTCGGCGGAGCTCATGATGGGCTTGCTGCTGTCCTCACTGTCCTCTTTCTGGGCCACGCCGCCCGGGTGGATGATCAGCACCATGACAATGCCCACCACCACTGCCAGGAAGGTGGTCCACAGGTAGTAGGAGACAGTGATGAGCCCCAGCCTGCTGGAACACTTAGGCTCCAGGGCGGCCAAGCCTGACATCAAACTGAGACAAAGAGAGAGAACGAAAGGAGGGACTTAATTCAACAACTTTGGTTCAAAAAAGACATTGTAAGTGTCATATAGTCAGGTAATAAGCCTGGCTTTAAATGGTTAAAACTAGACTTGTATGAAACATAATTTTAAAATAAATCTGTGATATGGAAGTTTTTCCTCTAGTTGGGAAGATTAGTGACTATTATTTTTCATATATTGGGTATTTTAGCTATTAAATCATCTGTGAAACGTTATTGAACTTTAGACTGGTAACACTTAATAAAAACAACAGTTAAGCTGTTATTTAATTATCATTTAATCATGAACTAATAAAGTGTTCATTCTTCATTGATTACTTTGTAAGATAACATATGAACCACTACTTGTGGTCTCCAAATGACTTATAACTGTTTGTTGCTGTTTGTTAAAGTTCACCAAATCATTTGAATATTTTTAGTATTACTTTTTTGGCATTTAGAAAAGACACTACTCACTAAAAGTGGATAACACCTGAATTTCTGATTTGTTCGTCACTGATTGATTACAAAGTAGACACATATGTAGACTGTCACATTATAAATTAGTCATGGTCAAATGTCTGGTTAGTGTATGATTTATTAATTATGAAGTGGAAGCTTCTATGTCTGTTATAAAGTACTGTGAATATATTATTTATTGATGAATAATTTCAAGTACCTGATTAGTTCGTAGTTACTTAATCATGAACCAATAGATGTCTTACCTTTACCTCTTTGTATGACTTTTAGCTCTGATGGTGCCATGAGAGAAGAACATTTTCTACCCACATACATGGGGATAAAAGCTGGTTGAGTGCTAGCAAGATGCAACTAATCATTACTCTAAACACCTTACAATTACACTGGGTTTATAGGTCATTTAAAAGCTTCTGACGACTGAAGACCAACATACAAGCGTTTTAGTGCCACACAGCCTCAGACAACCCAACAGATTGTCCTTTTCCTGTCTTGAAAGTATGCCGTTCCATTTTAAGCTCTAATTTTTGCATTCTCGTGCTTGTTGTGTTAGAGCTATTCATTTATTTATTTATTGGATTTTGCCATTGCTCTTTTTTTTGAAAACCAAATATATTCAAGTCAAAGTTTATTTATATGGTGCATTTACAACAGAAAATCTGGGCCCGAGCCCCAGTATGCAAGCCAGAGGCAACTCTACCTAAAAGAACAGAGGAAGAAATCTCGAGAGGAAGCTAGATTCAAAAGAGGAACCCATCCTCCTCTGGTCGACACCAGATAGCAGAACAATAACACAACAAGAACAATGTGAACAAAGAACAGCATTTTAAGATTAACATAAAATATTAAATGTAATGAAAAAGAAAAAAGAAACCAATCTATCATTGGACAGAGGAACGTAGCTTGTCTTCCTGTGTTCTGAACAGCAGTAATCCATGACTATTAGAGTAAGGCTTTTATTTTGGGCCATAAAAAACTTTCTCAAAAAAAAAAAAACCCAAAAAAACAAGAACCCACCCACATCTCTACTGTAACGTTAATTTTGCTAGCACCCCTATGGGATTTGAGGTAGTATGTTAGCACTAACCTAGCAGTGGCGCACACAAACATTTTTTGGCAGCTCTAGAAGTTTGTTAAAGACATTCCATGTTTTTTTTTTTTTGGTAAGATTGTAAGGGACATTGTTTGTATGTATCAGTCAAAGAGTCCTGACAGCCACTGGTTACCATTTCAAGCAAGTAACTGAAAGCTGATTAGATATCTAGAACTTCCAGAAGTTCATCACTAGAGTGATGCTTTTCTCAAAAACGTGGTTGACTGGCCCATGATTGGTTGACTGCTCTGTCACTTCCTAATTATGTTGGTAGTTAATCTAACATGTAAGGCCTTCAGTCCAGCTCCTGAAGTCCCAACCAGTGGGAGAGCTTGCTTAGCCATGTCTACCTAGATACTGAAAAGAAAAAAAATACTGATTGCATAATATTCTGTTGAGTGTTTCAAGTTATTTCCAACCAAAAATTAACAGTGAAATCTATCAGTAATATTTTACCAAATTAAAAAAAAAACTACAGACATATTTTTATTTACCAGAAAACATTAGGACTTCTCTGAGGACCTAGAAGGCCCTGAGGGTTGCCCACTGGCTTTGTTCTCAGTACAATGGTTCTGATTATTGGATTATCCCAAATAAACTCATGCATCACTCATTCTTAGCAATGACTGTTGTTCAGTCATGTGCAGTATTTGGCTAGAACTGGGGTGGAAATATAATTAACTACCATAATAATCCTTATGTTGTAGGAATTAAATCTTGAAATGTCATGATTGCTGTAGCTTTTAATGTCAAACTAGTTGTAGAAGTAGTTGAGCTACCAATACAATGGAGAACAATGTTAATGTGCATGAAGAGACCAAAAGAACTGGGAGGGCGTCGACCTCTAAAAGGCTGTTGTTTCTAATGGAACAGCTGGCTGAGGCCGGCCAGAGATTACACGGCAGGGATGGTAACGGATCTCTCAGCATGGAGAGGTCAAAGTAAAAATGTTGCCTCCACTCCATCCCCCACTTTGCATGGCCGGATTGCAATTTTCAGGGTCAGGAATGGTTTAGGCCATGGTTATGGTTTAACGTAGGAGTTCAGTCCAAACAGCAATCATACAGTAGCTAATGCAGATTAGATTCCTTCTCTCTCTCTCTCACACTCACTCTCGCTCTCGCTTTCTCTCAACAGGACTGTGAAGTCTTTCATGTGTCATCAAAGAAATAATGTTCAATTCTCAAGTGTTTTTAGGGCTGCATGTTATGGATAGAATGCTATACTGTGTTTATACTGGGTCCAAACCACACAAGGTCCCTGTAAGCAATTATGGCAAAATCTAAACAGCTGGCTTGACTCATGATGGGAGCTTTACTAGCAACATTATTATACACTCAAAATCCTGATGCTCTTCATGTCATTCCTGAACATCCATTTCATTTTCTCCCCCAAACACTGCTTAGCAGCCATCCCACTACGCATTATTGGCTCAAGTTGTGAATTTATCCTGAATTTTAAACTCAATATATTGAAAAAAGTAAACATAACACCTGAAGCCCATATGATGGTGGCCATTTCCAAACCCAAACACAATTAAATTTCAGGGCAAGATTTACAAAAGTGTTAAAAATCTACTCTCACGTACTAATTCATCAAAGGTAGGATATAAATGGTGCATTAACATTTCAATGCCTGCTGTGGTGGTATGCTTTAGCTTAGAATGCTTGACATTATGCTGTTGTACACATCACTGCAGTCAGCAATAGTTTAGGATCTCATATCATGACCTAGCAGTACAAAGAGGCAGCCCTATGTCATTATGCTCCCACCTTCATACCTCACTTTGGTTATGGTGGATCATATATGCAACAGTTCTTTCTCCAGACATGATGAATGGATATATTTCCAAAGAGTTTTGTCTGATGAGGGTACATTGTTCCAAACAGGTCCACCTGGACTCTTGTATGCAAAGTTTAGATGTGCATCTCTATGCTGCTTTTTCAGCAGAGGAGTTTTGCATGGAGTGTAGTAACTGAGATGACTGTGGTGCATTTTATTAATGACTGTGGTGCAATTCATTGTTTACCATGTTTAACTGTTGTGCTTCCTGGTTTCAACTCATCCTGCAACTCTTTGTGAGTGACTACTGGCTTCTCTATAACATTCCTTATCATTGGAAAGAACATTTATTTTAGTGCCGCTTCCTGTGATTTCAGTAGTGCAAAGGCCAATATCATGATAACAGTTACCAAACTATATATTCTATATCCCCAATGGCTTTTATAGAGCGCATCCAGAAAGTTCAGCAGTGACCCTCATTTTAATCTACGGAACAGCCCCCCTCTATGTCCTTTTCATCTTTATACATATTTTAGACATATATACATACATTGTGCAAGAGAAATCAATCAGTCTGATGTCACTAATCTATAATGATAATGGATAATGACATATTCTATATTGAATTTCTTTCAGAACACTCAGAGTTCCTCATTAATCAAACCTAGCAGCATGTTTCAAGGTCAACATGTATTTCTTTTCTTGTATCTGTGTTCATCAGATGTAAAAGGGGGGAATGAGGTTGGTAATCTATTATTATTTTCTTGAGTAGATGTTTAATTCATCCAGCTGAGTGCAGGGAAGGGTATGTATGTATGTAATTATTTATATAAATATTATAATAGATGTATTATAGTGCTGAACTGTACTCAAGGATGCTGTTATAGACTTTTACTAAAGCATTTGTGCAAGATTGATCCTTCCAGGTGGGTTTTTTCAGATTTCACAAGCTTTGATTATTTAAATCATTTTAGGCACATTTTATGAATTTTGGTAAAACCCAGTGAAACAGAAGAGATGAAGCAGAAAATAACATTTACTTCCCCAACTAAGGATGAACACAATGTTCTTTCCCTAAATTATCATGTGATTTGAGTGGCTCTTTCCCATTGTCCAAGTTACATCTCTCTGCTGTGTCTATATTTGTTTCTGATTAGCATATTTGCAATTGAATTATTTCACATTATTCAGTCTGGTTTTATGCATTAGGTTCATCTTCACATTCAGTTGTGGATTGAATTATTTTGTTCAATTGAATGACAAATTATCTTCTGCACTGAGTTTTGTTTATTTATTTGTTGACTATAATTTTCTAATTATTTCATGCTTTTGGCACTTTTTTTTCTATTTTCAAGCTATTTGTAGATTTATTGACTGTAGTTTTTGCCAGTTAAGCAGCAAAGTGGTAAGTGCAGAAGTACATTTGTGTAGGTTTACTTTCAAATATTCAAAACACAATCAGAGACTCCATAGAGTTTAATGCTGTGCGCAACACACACTAACACACCACCACCACGTCAGTGTTACTGCAGTGCTGAGAATGATCCACCACCCAAATAGTACCTGCTCTGTGAGGGTCCATGGGGGTCCTGACCACTGAAGAACAGGGTAAAAGGGGGCTAACAAAGTATGCAGAGAAAC